GATAGAAAGAGAGACAGGGCAAGAGGGAGCGGGAGAGATAGAGAGATAGAGAGAGAGAGAGAGAGAGAGAAATCGGAGACGGGTAAGAAGGTCCGTGTAATTCGTAAAGTGTTGTAATAATTGAGCACACGGCAAAAGGTGTGTGGCAACGAGAGTCGCGCAAGTTTCACAAATGGGTCAGCGAGCACAGCAGCAGCAGTAAGAGTGGTGTAAAAGGTAGCCCCGGTATATACAAACGTTCGAAAGCCCGCTTCGAATAACGTTTGGTAATATATTTATCGTCGCTTACGAAAAACTTCGCTCTTACCACCCCTTCTCTCCTCTAACCTCACTCTTACTACCACTCACTCACTCACTCACTCACTCACTCACTCACTCACTCACTCACTCGCTCTCTTTCTCTCTCTCTTTCCCTCTCCCTCTCTATTTTCTTGCAACGTGCTTTCGTAGTCATGTATGACGGATGTTTAAAAGTCTTCGAACGTTACGTATTGTCGTTCTTTAAACGACAATAACGTGATACGTGATTTTCGTGAAAATCCTTCGGGAGAAAAAAAAAGATCATTGGTTAACAACTGACATGTTATATTACGAGTATATATATATATATATGTGTGCATGTATGTATGTATGTTTGTATGTATGTAAGTATCAACGATATGTTGAATATTATATAAAAAAAAAATAGAAAAAAAGAGCACGTCAAAACCGAAGAAAAAATAGATAGGATAATACGTGTGAAAGTTAGTAACATGTTCCAAAAGTCTTTACAAGTTTTACACACATATGTATAAACTATGTATAAGTCGTCTAATGCATAACTGGAGCGCGCACATGGAAACACGAGTTTGCCCTTCGTTTTAACGAGTTCTAGATTTTAACTGAAAGTCGAGAGAGAATAAGAGTAAGAGAGTAAGAGAGTAAGAGAGAGAGAGAGAGAGAGAGAGAGAGAGAGAGAGAGAGAGAGAGAGAGAGAGATAAAGAGAGAGAGAACGTTACTTTATATGATCACACTGTATGTGTGTAAGTATATATATATATATATATATATATAATGTGGGATGAAAATTTTATTAGAAAATAAAATTTTCCATTGAAAGATAATACATATAATACATATATATTTAGTAATTATCTTTTTTCGGATCTACATAGGAAAATGTAGAACGATGTATTCCATAATCGATGAAAAAAAAAAGGAAACAAAGAATAAAAAGAAAAAGAAAGAAAAAAAAAATATATAAAAAGAAAAGGAAAATGAACGTTTGTTTGTACTAGTCACAAAGCGTAATTCGTATAACGATCACGTTTACTTTAACCACTTCGTACGAACACCCGAATTAGGAAGGTTCTGTTCTACATTCTCGGATTTAAATTTGGTATCACGTAAGAAACGTCGGCGATCTTATCGGTTTCTTAGTATCTCTTTTGATCGAACTCGAGAGAGCTTGTGTCACGTACCTTATAATCTTAGAAAGAGATAGATAAATAAATAGATAGATAGATAGATAGATAGATAGATAGTAAGATGGGATTGATGGATGGATAGAAAAAGTGAGAAGATGAATAGATAAGGAATGTAAGTGAGAAGAAAAAGATTTGTACATTTTTCTGACACTTGCATTGTATAAGCAAGAATTTATGTGTGTATGTGTGTGTATATTTATGTATATATTTCTTTTTTCATATATAAAAAAAAAAGAGATAGATAGATAGATAGATATATATATATATAGAGAGAGAGAGAGAGAGAGACAGGGAGAGAGAGAGAGAGGTCGACCTAGAACGAATCCATAGAAATAAAATGAAAGCAAATTTATACAGGAGCGGTTCGTCACTCTGAGTAAAGGCGATTGTATTTAAATTTCTCAGAAATTATCGAGCTAGAAAGGCTTAGTTAGTGAGTGGGTGGATGGGGGTGGTAAAAAGAGAGAGAAAGAGAGAGAGAGAGAGAGGCTTTGAATGGATTTGAAAAAAGTGGGAGTGGTTTGAAATCTCCCTTTGAAGGATAGATAGTCGTAAATTAATCTTTATACGTCCTCCTGTTATTTCTACTTTGAAAGACGATATTGCAGAATCGTAATTAATCGAATATAAATCATAAAAAAAGAGAGGAACAAAAATTAAAAAAAAAAAAAAAAAGAAAAAAAGAAGAAGAAGAAGAAGAAGCATCGCCATTTTCAAAATCGAATCTTCGATCTTTCGAAGGATCACTTTTTAAATTATAATTTTCGACAGAATACATATATATATATATATATATATATATACTTTTTACGGGGTGCATCGGTCCTTCTCTCTTTTCTCTTCTTTTCCTTTTAATTTTTTTTCTTCTCTCTCTTTCATTCGCATTGTTTCTTCATATTTTTGCTTTCGAATGATTTTTGATAATTACGCGTATATCGTAGATATCTACGTACGTTTTCAATGATAAAGAACGTAAGGAAACAAGGATGGAAGTGAAGGAAATGAAGAAAGGATGGAGGGAAGAAAGGGAAAAAGGAAAAAAAAAAGAAAAAAAGATAGAAGAAGAAGAAGAAGAAGAAGAAGAAGAAGAAGAAGAAGAAGAAAACATGGAAAAAAAAGAGGTAGAAGAAAAACGCGTTTACCCGTGGCACGTTAATTAAATTAGAGGGACCTCTAAGAGTTTCTCTTCGGGATGTCGCGCAATTAACGCTCAGTCGAGGACCGTGAAAGAATGAGAAATAGAGAGTGAGAGTAAGAGAGAAAAAGAGAGAGAGAGAGAGAGAGAGAGAGAAAATGAGAGAGAGAGAGATGAAGATGGTAGGCCGACTTTAATTAACCAAACAGTGTGGCCGAGAAACACGCTGAATATTTTATTATCTCTCTTATACGATGTGGGACATTATGTCAGGAAGCTACGCTTAGTTTAATAACTCTTCTGTCTAAGCTGCCTATTTCTCTCGACATCTTATCGATTCCCTTTTCTAACTAGAAACACGAGAGAGAGAGAGAGAGAGAGAGAGAGAGAGAGAGAGAGAGAGAGAGAGAGAAGAAGAGAAATTAAAGATTATCCTTTTCTAAAAGAAAACTTTATTGAAATATCTTAATTTCTAATTTCAATATTAGTTTCAACAATGATCGTCAATTATCAATCTGAAATTGAAAGATCAGAATAATTTGAATGGAATGTTTTTCAGCCGATCCTATTATTTAATTTTGAAAAAAAAATATATGATATAATTTTTGAAAAAAAAAAAAAAAAAAAAAAAAGAAAAAAAAAACAAACAATAAAAGAAAAAACTTTTTAAACATCTCTACGATCTGTACAATCGACACGCGCTAACAATGATATCTGTAGCTAATAAATATTCAAAAGGCATTCATCGAATAAGAATTAATTATTATGAAAGAGTTATAATAAGAATTATACGAATTAATTAACGATATAAACGAAAATAATATATTTTTGATTATACGGGTTCGGTTCCGTATTGTTTTTTTTTTTTTCTTTTCTTTTCTACGACACGATTTTTTTTTTGCTTTTTTTTTTTTTTTTTTACAGTCGAATAACAACAATATAGTAACAAATATAAACTGTCGACCAAGGAATATTTAATTAGACGATTTTAACTAAAAACTATAACGTCGGATTAAATATTGTCCGATTCGAAATAATTCAATTATTAATTTTTAATCCATACATATAATAAATAATTCCGATTAATTCATTTGGAACGATTTAAATTTTTCCAATAGAAATGACTTGTTGATTTCACTACCATTGTTTCGTCAATCGAATTAATTTTTGTAAGTATCGAATGAAAGCGAAAAAAAGAAAGAAAGAAAGAAAGAAAGAAAGAAAGAAAGAAAAGAAAAATAATAATAAAAAAGAAAGAAAAAGAAAGAAAGAAAAAAATGGATAGAGAGGAGACAGCCCGACGATTTATTTCTCGCAAAAAAAAAAAAAGAAAGAAAAAAAAAGAAAGAAAAAGACGAAAGATAAAGACAGACAGACAGAGAGAGAGAGAGATAGAGAGAGAGAGAGAGAGAGAGAGAGAGAGAGAGAGAGAAAGAAAGAGAAAGAGAGAGAGAGAGCATTCTCTGGTGCATTAATTAAAAATGCCACGAAGGAAGTCGCTTGTCATCGTCATTGTTGTCATTATCAACAAATAAAAAAAAAAAAGGTCAAAACTGAATGGAAACAACAGTTGCCATTGGTTGTCTGACACTGTTCCCGATTGTTGTATATATTCGCTGGCATCATTTTACGTGGCTTCTCTATCTATCTATCTATCTATCTATCTATCTATCCATCTATCTATCTATCTGTCCGTTTGTCTCTCTTTCTCGTTTCTACGATGACGACATGATCTATAAGTTGATCTAACGTGCTGTTCTAGAGGCGGCTTTTCGGACACGAAAACCGGCCGGCCCATTTCGCGTTTTGCCACGCTATTTTCGCGCGCTTTAAATGTAAACCAAAACTCGCCCCCACAATCCGACCTGATATATATATATATATATATATATATATATATATTATATATATGTATATATATATGAATCCTAAACGTTTCATTTCATTTCATTTCATTACATTACATTACACTACGTTACATTTACATTTACATTTCATTTCATTATATTTCATTACATTACATTTTATTTTATTTTATTTTATTTCGTATCGTTTAATTTCGTTTCATTTTATTTCATTTTATTTCGACTTCCCCTCTCTCTCTCTCTCACTCTCTCTCTCTCTCTCTCTCGCTCTCGCTCTTTCGCTCTCTTTCTGTGATTTCGTTTTTCTTTCTTTCTTTTTTTTCCTTTGCTCTCCTCTTTCTTTTAAAATATTTTTCTCCTACAAGAAATATATATATATATATATATATATAGATATATAGATATATATATATATATAAGAACAACGACGATCGTATATCGCATAATGCGCGTTTCCCATAAATGAATCACGGGAGATGATTAGGATTGAAACGTACGCTCGTTTAGCTCTCTGAACGGTTAGCTGTCTGTACCTCGTGTCTTCATTTTTGCTCGCTACGAAACGGTCCAGTCTGAAAGAAAAAAATAGAAGAGGAGTCATTCTCCAACGTTTCTCTTCACACAAAAACCTACAATAGAATTTTCTACTTCAATTCAAAAACAAAACAAAAAGAGAGAAAAAAAGAAAAAAAAAAAAAATAATAAAAAAAAAGAAAAAAAAAAAGAGAAAAAAAAAGTAGAGAAGTAAAAAAAAATTCATCTCTCCGAAACATCTATCTATTTATCTATCTGTCTATCTAACCATCTATCTATCTATCTATCTAACTATCTATCTATCTATTTATCCGTTCATCCATCCATCTCTATCCATCTACATATATCTAAACTATATATCTTTTCTTTTTATCTATTTATCCATTTAATCTTCCTAACAAGAAACATCCTGTTGAAAAATTTCTTCGCTTCGTTTTAATCGTCGAGATTGAAACAAAAACAAAAAGAAAAAAAAAAAAAAAAAAGAAGAAAAAAAGGAAAAAAAAAAGAAAAAAGAAAACGAACGAACGATCCTTCGCATGAGAATAAAAAAGGGAGAAGAAGAAGAAGAAGAAGAAGAAGAAGGAGAGGAAGAAAAAAAAAAAAGAGGAAAAAGAAAAAGGAAAAAAAGGGAGAAAAAAGAGAGAGAGAGAGAGAGAGAGAAATAATGATAATAAAGAATGAAGAAAGAAAAAAGAAGAGGAAAAACCTCTCTCTGAACTTTCATAATCGTAATACCGATAAAATTCGATTCTACGAACGTGATAAACGTCATATTACACGTTTATGGAAGGAAGTGAAACAGAGAGAGAGAGAGAGGGAGAGAGAGGGAGGGATGGAGGGACAGAGGGAGGGAGGGAGGGAGAGAGAGATAAGGTAACATTTTTTTTACGAGGCTTACACGAAGAGACTAAAGTAGCAAACGGGATGTAAAGTGTGTCATCGGACTAAAATGACTTTACGTAAAACGTTGAAAAGTAAACTAACGGATACAAAGTTATATTCATGGATGGTGTACAGAGAGAGAGAGAGAGAGAGAGAGAGAAAGAGAGAGAGGGGAGGGGAGGGGGTGAGAGAAATGAGGAAAGGACGTTAAATCGTATATAAAGAAAACGAAAATATTCTCGAACTTATTGTAATGATGAAGAGTTAGAAAAAAAAAAAAAGAAAAAAAAAAGATAAAGAGAGAGAGAGAGAGAGAGAGAGAGAGAGAGAGAGAGAGAGAGAGAGAGAGAGAGAGAGAGAGAGAGAGAGAGAGAGAGAGAGAGAGAGGGAAAGATGAACACACACACATCTCTTTCTCGGCTGGAATTTCAAAAGCAAATGGCCGAGCCCTACGAAGTAAAACACCAGAGACCACCAATTATCGTGTACATACGTGTAAACTTTCTTTAAGGAACATTATAAACAAAGAAGAAATAAATAAACAAAGAGATAAAAAAAAAAAAATTCGAACGAAATTCAAGCGTTCTTCCTAATTATACAAATAAATACCAACGATACACATACGATATATATATATATATATATATATGGATAAAAATCTGTGATGTATGAGTGAATAGAAAATTAGAAGAAGAAGAAGAAGAAGAAAATGGAAAAGAAAAAAAGAAAAGAAAAAAAGAAAAAAAAAAGAAAAAAAAAAAAAAAGAAAAAGAAAATCGTATGAGAAAATTAATTCTCCGATTTGTTTTTTATACTATTATATCAATCTAGTTACTTTACTTTTTTTTTTTCTTTTTTTTCCTTTTTTCTTTTTCTTTAATCACGTGTAACGCGAACACATTCCAATTAATCTAATACAATACCGTACGTATTTATGCATTTATGTATTTATGTACTTATGTATTTATATTACTCCCTATGTTAGAATTTATAATATGCTACTCGTGTCTTTCTCGAGTTATCGTCATCGTCGAAAATGGCCGTTGGAAGTCGCCGAATATTGCCATTCTGGTATGAGTATATTAGCATATATCCAGGAAACGCGTGACGCGAATGCAAACTGGTCTCCTTTCTTCTTGTCCCTTCGATGAAGAAAAGAAAAGAAAAGAAAAGAAAAGAAAAGAAAAGAAAAAAAAAGAACAAAAAAAAAAAGGAGAAAAAGAAAAAGAAGAACGAAAAAAGATGAAGAGGAAGAAGAAAAAAAAAACTACTGCGTATATCTTTTTCTCTGCCAATCCACCCACCACCCCTTCACGCCTCTTATTTTATTTGGTTAAAAAAAAAAAAAACACCAAAAGAAAAAAAAACAGACAAGTCTTAATCTTATAAAAAATTCGATCGAGAAAGGATTGAATCGAAGGATCAAATCTCTTGGTAATTCTTATTCGTTCTCGTTTTTTTTTTCCTTTCTTTCCTTTTTTCGTTTTCTTTTTTTCCTTCCCCCACCCCTTGCATTTCATAGATTCGTCCATAGTTCCGTTCGCTATTTCGATATCATAGTTAGTTGTTGAAAGGAAGCATATAAGAAAGGAAACGAATGGACTCCCCGTAATT